ACCACTGTCAAGCGATTAGTCACCGTAAATATAGTCTTGGAGGCAGTCAGTAGGAGTTCACTTAACATGCGGTAACGTCAGTCTTTGACTTTGGATTATATGGACTCGAATAATATGAGGATATTTACGTTGAATACGTTGCATTATATTATGAATTGATAAAGATTAAATATTTGGACATGTAAATAAAGACTGGGTTGTCCAGTAGCATAGTCCTTGTTATGAGACTTGAATATAATGACCTCTATAAACCTTGGGGGTGCAAGTGAACACCATTAACCAGTTTCTTACTCAGACGAAACAACTGTCCAGTTCTTACAGATTTTCAGTTTAAAACATTGGATTCATCCACTGTCTGTATCGAACCTATATTGTTGATTAAAATTAAATTTTGGTTTCGTCAGATGAACTTTCCTACATCTTTGTGTGTATATTCACACTGAAATTTCAACACAATACCTTCATTTTCAAAGGTCAGCGTAACTTGATCTATGTCATTTAATATGTTGCTTATGGTTGATATACCTCAATAGAAATTCTATTCAGGTATCTGAAAATATTTTCAGATCTCGTAATCACCGAGTAGTAAGAATATTTATGAAATATTATGGTCAATTTATTTCATGATTATTTGTAATCAGTAAAATACATTCAGTTAGTTTCCGCTTAAAGAACTCAATGTTGCAGTTTATTAATTGTTAACTTAACCACACAAATTCAAACATTTTCAGAGGGAGAATGTATGGAAATACAAATTACTTGTAGTTTACATTAGTCAAAGAAACAAACAGGGTTGACATTAAAATAATAGTAATAATAGTGAGTAACTGGAAACAAATGTGCTTGTTGTATCTACATTATATTTTACATAATACGCACATCAATAATTCTGTTCATTGTTCATTGTGGTAGGTATCCTATTCCCAATAGTTTGTTTAAGTAAAATCATCACAACTAGATATATGATTTAATAGTATATACCGAAGAAGAATAATAATAAATGAATAATATTTAGTTGTGTCTCAGATCTAACATGAGATATGAAATTAGAATGTACACGTATATTTGTCTGCAGAACTAGCTGACTTTAGAAAAAATATGTTTTTATTACATTTTTGAAATATCACAGTTTAGATATGTGTCAAAGTAGAATTTACATCAATGATGCAGCAGTGAATAAAATAATTGTTATTATTTGAACGTAGTTACATCCATGTTGAGGATCATAACGCGATTTGTACCCAATAATCATCATTCCAAACTCCAGAGCACTTCCACTGGGATGTTCAAACTATATAATTAGAACACATAATCAACTTATTAATTCAGACTATATCAAGGAATTTATTTGAAGAAAACACACTAACAATGGTTGGTCACATTTAATTTATGAAATCAACAAAGAAGAAACACAAATTTTTGTAATTAATAGTCCTCAAAATTTTCAATGAACAAATGGTTGACCATGGAATTTATTTGACTAATGATTTACTTTAAAGAAAGAGTGGTTCAGTGGATCACATGCTCGACTTTTACAAACCATGCCAGAAATGCCGATCATTCATCGTCGAATTTAACTTGACTAACCGGGCAGTAACTTTAGCCTTTACACAAAACTATTCGATTTGAAATTGGAACCTGAACTGATGTTTTATTTCTGAAATTCCGCAAATAGGAGGAAATGTTTATCACACGAATGATGGTTGTACGATGGAGTAAAGATGCATTATGATTTAGAATAGAATAGATCGGTTCGACGGAGATTTCTTATTTTGCCGAACTCATTTCCAAAGATTTACGTTATCAAATACGTTCTCGTTTGTTCAACATCATAACATTTACGCTGCCAACAACATTATTGTTAGTTTCCTTGATAAAAATAACATTTTTATGCCGTCATCCATTTTAGTTCACTGTTACCATGGTTAGCGAGATTTTTCTCATCACCATTATTGTTATTATTATCATTTTGAAAAAATAAGTAAATGTTTGCGATTGTACAGCTTTGTAAATGAATTCGGCAACAAGAGAACTCTTCGCTTGACCAGTATTTCTTGTTTTGTGTCTCAAAAGGTATATCTCGTCTACTTAGAAATTATAATTTAGGGCATTCTGTTCAACACTCGGTAAATTAAAAATCAAGTTTCCATGACATGAGAAGTATCGGAAATGTTATGTCACTTTGAAATTAGTATATGCTGCTTAGAAGTTAAGAAAATAATAACCAATAAATGTTTACACACTAGTTGTCGATATTCATCGGAATTATTCGAATATATTAGTGAATATTCAATACTAGTTCACTGTCTACTTTACTAACAAATCCATCCTGTTCTGTCTAGAAAATTTTATTATGGTTTCTTTACTGATATGGTGCTTTCATATGATCTATTGAGGTCAACCCGAAAATAATGTTATTATTAATGCTATTCAAATAATCCCTTGTACGTGCCAAACTGTACCATATTTGGAAAATCATAAATCTCGCTTCTCGTTGCCCTCTTCGTCTTTTTGTTATTTAAGCTCTATTGTATTTTTCTCATTAATTATTGTTATTATTATTATTGTTATTATTATTATTATTATTATTATTATTATTATTATCCTAGAATCAAAACAAGTGAATTTCACCATGAAAGTTAGCTTTCCTATGAATGCGGTCTTAACCTCCATTTCATGGTCAAAGGTATTATCTACTTACTTATTAATATTTTTAATAAAAGTCCACAATTCTATATAATTTTAAATAAATCAACAAAATTAACATGTCATGTTTACTTAAGTTGTAATCGGGTGAATTGTGTATATTGTGCATGTTGACCAAAGATTATTTCATCAAAATTATGTTTTTTTGTTATTAGTACAATTATTATTTATGAATGTTCAACATTCCATTGATAAGTTAGTTTCCGATCGGATTAATTAGCCGAGAAAAATGATGGTCGAATTTTCTATTGTACACTTCTGAATGAAAATCCATGAGGAAATTTATCGAGATGGTGGAAAAGATTTGTAGCTCAAGTGGAGAATTTTGGTGGAGTTTCGTTCTCTGGGCTGGATGGGCTGGTCGTGAAGCTTTCATAGTTCTTCCGAGCAACATCGCCACCTACATATAACTTGGAAAAACGACCTCTGTATGTAAGGATGGTCGAGTGATGTACAGGACCTTATACAGTTTAAGATATCGTGATGAAACTTTTGTGCACCGAAGACTGTCTGTCAATTCAACAGCATGTGTACACACTTCTAATATCGTGTGATGGGTGGATCGTTCGAAGAATTGTTTACTTAGACTATACCAAGGATCTGAAGAATATAATTCAATGGGAAGAAAAAATAACAGATTGCGTATCTAGGGAAATTAGTCAGAAGCATAGGAGCGAAATGGTTAGTGTCATCAGTTTTTTTATAGTATATTCCTCGATTTCACTCATACGTGTTACATGTAAGGGTAGTTCACTCACGACACCTTTGTTATGACTGAACATGTATTTATTTTAGCTTTCTACTACATATGTTATGCAAGAGATCGCCTCTTGAATCTCATTAATGGTGGTTACGTTGAATAAAACCAACGGTTGTATAATATTTGATTAAGAGAGTATTTTTGACAAAATTTGTGAGCCAGAGTTACAAGTAGTGGTTCCTTAATTCCTTACATGAATTTTATTTTATTTTACATTTGTCAGTTAAACCTTAAAAATGTAGACTATATTATTAAAAGCTTCTATGCTTTAGGTAAATGAATCACAGCATTAAGTTAGTACAGAGTAGATGGAATACAACTATCAGTGAAGTCCAGCACGCACATCTTGTTGCAAATGGGACTCGTCAACCGGACAGCAAAATAAGCCTGTTGTTTGATTTTCGGGTTGGTCAGCTGACACACTATACAATAAGATGCTTTTAGAACTAAAAAATATACTTATCACCACAGGATTTTCTAAGAATAGGTTGATATTTCGGGCAACAGTTTAGCTCGATTCTTGTTATTTCGTTCATCTATTACTATTATGTCAAATCGACATTTCATTTCATCGACACTTCATTTATTTATAACATGTTATAAACTTTTACCATAGACAATTAATCAGTTGGAATAAATTTAATAAGAAATATTTTCTGACTAGAGGAGAATGAATAACAGTATGAGTTGCTGGTTTCCGCAAGGAGTAGAAACTGCATGTTGTCTTTATTTTAATTTGATCCTAGTTGAAACACCACTGAAAACTAGTGAACACTACATAGCTGTTACATAGTAGTATGGGGCATATGTTACCTCTCTAAGGATTAAATCCAGGATCTTCAGATCTCCTAGCATAAGTTCAATAATTAGAAGTATTGAGTCAGTTTCTAACGGTGCAATTTTAACTTCAGTTAATTCTATATATAAAGTGGCAGTTGTTTAATAGCATTTTTGACAACTGTTTCATACACACCATATCGGAACTCCAACAATCACAACTTCTCAATAGAACTTTAGGCACATCTAGAAATAAATTAGTAGCATTTTCTAAAGCAACTTCCATTCACCTGATTCTAGCATATATTCAATTTAGTTTCTTTTCAAAAACTAATTTAAATGTACACTCTCACAGGCATGTTTGCTATGATATTTGAATGCTAATTTCCCTGCTTATTCTCATCAGTTTAGTAAATATTTGACATTAAAACAACTGAATGCCTCTAATTCAAATTTAGTTTACTCAAACAAAATAGAAAACTCATCTGACGGAACGAAAAAGCTGACAGACAATCAGCATACAGATTTAAGTTGTCTACAAATCATCCGATCAACAGTTGTAAAACGATAATAGTTACTCGTTTCAATTTCGTTTCATCTTCATTTTCTCTCCTCATTTTTTGTTTGAATGTGGAAAAAGAAAATGGAATATTAAAATAATTAACAACAGATGGTACTTATACAAAATATCCAACATAATAAAATAGAGTAGACAAAGTTGGAAACAAAATGATTTAACATTGTACATAGTATTAAATCAAAGAAAAACAATTCCATCTTCTTGAAACAATCCTTTTTCACAGATGAATCTACTTAATTCCATTTGTGTTGCGTTTTTTTCAGCTTCCTTCACTTTGCAGAATGGAAAGATATGCATATTATTATTATTATTATTATTATTATTATTATTATTATTATTATTATTATTATTATTATCAAATAAAGCAATACCGACTATGATCATAGTGGATGTTGATCGGTCGATTACACATTAACATGATAATTATTTCGTTGAACTAATGACAATTCCTAATATCCTACAATGAATAATTAGTAGGGAGCAGAGAAAATCGGTTAAGCCAAATTCTGTTTTGTTTCATCATTGATTAAAACGATTCATTGTATACATTAAAGAAAACGTGTAATAGAGAAAGAGCATGATTCAAAATTGTTTACATTGGTAATGAATAATTGACTAATGAAAGTGAGAAAGTAGTTATTAACCAAACGATATATTGAAGCTTTGAACGTTGCAAATACTCCATACATACTGGTTTACTATGATTTCCTCTTTCATTAATGATTAATCTCATAACTCTGAAATAATAAATCCATCTTGTACAGTAGTTGAACATTGGACAAGTCGAAATAAAGTTTATACATGGTCTGGTGTTTATCTAAAAAGTAAGAAGTTGATCGTCTTCCACAGATTGATACAACATTAAAGGAAATAGAAAGGGAAGAGAGTTAATTAGAAAACCGCCTAACTGTCTATAGTAAATTGATACCACATACGGTTATAGTTACCTGTTATCAAGAGGTTCTGGAATTAGACGAAGAATACACTCATTTTATTTGTAAAAAATAAAGCTAAAACCATCATTGATAACAGTGTAGGAATGGTTAAAAGTATAAGTCTATTGTATAAATACTATATAGTAGCTATACTGTGGAAAGCGTACCTTTTCACCTGGAACCATATTTTATAGCCTATAGATAATTTTATCCATCTATTTGTAACACCGTGAGATTAGTTGTGGTTTGGATTAACTCATTTGCAATCGATTCATGTAACTCAACACGATATAGACCGTGAATATTAATCAAAGTCATACTGTCTGGCCCATAATGCTGAATGAATTCTTCCCATAAGGTTTGAAATACAATAACTAGGCTAAGTGGCCTGTTACTCCAGTGCACTCTATCTTATGAGGAAGTGGTTTGCAGGATTCTATGCTTTGATCTAATGTTTGTGCTAGTTCCCACTTGTCTATGAAGCATATCTCCAATATGAAGGAAACTGATCCTTCTTGAGGGTTTAAAGCCCAAGTAACTAGGTCTAGGGCTTGCTACCGATTAGCTTCAAACGCAGAATAATGTGACACTGAGTCGTGTAGATTGGTCTCCATTTCGTAACCTGATTAATAGTCAGTGACTAATCAACATGATATTGGCTGCTATCAAGTGAATATCAATGTGAATATCTCAGTCATATAGAAGATCAGTCACAGCGTGAATGCTTCGTTGATAATTCCTTAAACTTTAGTGGTGGGTGACGTTGAGTTGAACCACATGGAGAGCATCAATTCCCCTAATATCTGAGGTATACAATGGTCACAAGTGTCAAGTAGCACAAACATGAGTTAATTTAGGACTTTCTTACGATTACCTTTAGCCACGTACCGGTGATGTTATAGGTGTACCTTTTGCGATATCTAGTTTGTCCCAACTACATATTGTATCCCGCGTAAAATTTAACGATATTCATAAACATGGACACATGAAAAATTATGTTCATTTAAATCAATTTCTTTCACTAAATGAAACCAGAACCCGACAGAAAAAACCCCAAAAACATTGTACACCTCAATTATATAGTAATAATAGTAAGTTGACCAGCTAATTGCTTCTGCATAACTTTGTACATTAATTTTCTTCCCTTTTTCTCGATTTCCATAACCAATTATTTGTTTACGGTTAGAAATTTTACATATTTGACCTAAATGTACACTTGCACTTGATTGAATTACCAAAATAAACAAATAATCTATTTCATTATAGACTATTACTGATTGAAAACTACCCATAAATACGATTGTGCAGTTCAACGAAGTAATGTCATCGAAAAAGTTCTCTTCATTGAAACATCTTCATTCTTGTAATGATTTAATGATTTTCGTTCGTGGTCTTAATATAATCTATTTTCGCTTGTGCCAAGTTGTATTGTAGGTCAAGGAGTTTTTTCATCATTATCTTGTGAATGTAAATATCACTAAAAATAAAGTCAGTTTTATAAATCATGAAATAAATTAACTACTGAGAAAACATACACCAACGATTTTCCAATTTGGCAAATTGTTTACCATGTAACATGAAAGTTTGACAACTTGATCATGGAATAGACTGAACTTTGTTGATTTTTTTATTGCTATTCGAAAAGTCTAATACACCATGTGTTCAGTGAATAGTTTGTAAAATAATGATATTTGTCAAAACTAGATTGAATACTTTTCGAAATGTTCATGTACTTCACACCAATTTGTCCCCCTGAACTCGATCATGTTTTGTCATGAATATGATTGTTATTGATGAAAAAATCATTTTATTTCGAATGAAATTATTCAAGATAAAGTTTGTTTTTATTATTAACATGCTTCTTCAATCAGAAGTGATTTGGATTTTTCCCTGGTATCGATTCATAACTAAACCTTAGATCTGGTTATCTGTTTTACCAAAATATATATGACTATACTGTCAAGTAATTGGTCTATGAATGGTCACAATCAGAAACATTCGATGTAAAATGACAACTGAATTCTTACATCATAAGTAGTGTAATATGATTTCATGCCATTTGGCTTAGTGCTTACTTTCTGATGATTGGTTACGTGACTCGAACAGCAATAATAATCAAAGTATACAACTTCATTTAGTGATCAACTCTTATAAAAACCAAGATGTTATTTTCTAATTATTTCAAAGGAACGAGAAGTAACTGTAATGAATTACTTACTGTGTACATTATAATGACAGAGTAATCCATTATTCATAGATAAAAACTAATAACATACCAATACATGAATATTAATTAAACTGTAGCAAACGAAATATGGAAAACCTAGAATCTTGTCGTCGACTTGTTGAAAAAAGATAATCAATAGTTAACCAACAGTACAAGTGTCTACTAAACTAACATTTAGAACATCAGATACAGCTACTAACACCAGATAAATCAGTTGGAGAACCCGTGAAAAATAGAAAGGATTGAGCAACTATTTCGTCTTTGCATGGGGCCTGTCAGAAGTTGATACCTAAGATTACACATTAAATTAAAACCACAACAAATTGCTCTTAAAGCTTACATAACAAAATTGTGTTAGGTGGTTGAAATTCATTTGCCGGAAACCCTAAGCCCAGGTTTCCTGACAGGTGGCGCTTGTCAGCAAGGCGTGTCTGGAAACCTGAGGTAATTAATGTTCCCTGTGGAATTCAAACCGGCACCAACCAGCTTCCCAATATGAAACATTTCCAATGAGCTGCTCTCTTGTAGAACTGAGATGTTAGCAATTGGGTGATCACTAAATAGTGACTAGTGTCATGTTTATTTAATCCTTTAATGAACTCGATTTTGAGTTAATTCGATCAGTGGGCGTATCAAAACTTGGTTGATAGATTTAGAGCAGCACTAAAGAACTAGACAAATATGACATCGGTCACTAATCAATGACAAATCATTTGCATTAACATTATGGCGTTAAGTTCCATTTCAGTGGTTCGTACTTTGTTGTTTCAGTTAAAATGCAATAACCTCGGTGTAATTACATTTTATCAAAACAAAATACCATTAGCATATACAAGTTTAAAATTCATCCAAAATCACTATTATTACTATTACTGATTTTTTGACATAACTGTTGGGGATATTAGATCCCCAAACCTCAATTGGTAAATGCCTTAATTTTGTAATTCCATTTTAAATGTTTTAACTTTTGTTTTCGCGCCAAAACACCCATTTTCACCTTCATCTAGTATTTCCCACTTCGGAGGATCTTAAACTCTATTGGATCGTCGTATCTTTCAGTATGCTGTTTTGTAACGCTTCCCAAGGACATTCTTATACTGTATATATACTCTTAATTTGTGTTTGTTGTTGTTCGTGCTTCTGGCTGCTTGTGGAATATATTTCCTTATTCCGATCTTGGACTTCTCTCCCTAGTTAGCGGGACTGGGGTGCGTCGGAACAACCAGCTTATGGGTCATGGTGTCACAGAGTTTTCGTTCCGTTCTCAGATTAGGTGAACTCGTAATCTCTTCAAATATAGCAATAACATTTACCTCTGTCAGCATTCAAGAATCAAATGAAATGTTTCTTAGACAAAATGCTTCTGTAAATAAATTAATTTCTCAAAAAATACAGATGACACATTTCGGAATGTTTCTCAATTTAAATAAATGATTTCTACACGATGTACAGATGGATAGACAGAAAGACTTATAAATTACTGCACAGTGGTTTTATCTTATTGTAACAAACCCCTTCAGCATTTTTCAATTCTAAATCCTCTTATGATCTAAGGTAAAAACATCATATCATTTTAACTTCATATTTAATGCAGATCATCATTGATCGCTTCTAACCACTCACTGATGATTATTAGCATCATAAAATCTGTTGTCAGTAGGCATTATACTGACAGAAGTAACCGTCATTATACAGTGGTGTTTAAATTCAGAAAGCCATAGTAGAATCATTCTAGAGGTTAGGAGCTGATTATAATATAATGAATACATGAAAGAAAAGTTAACTTATTCAAAAGCAAATTTAAATTTTTCTATTTGACTTACGTAAGTCTACAATATTTCGTATCATAGCGGTTGACAGTTGATAAAGTAGGAATTCCAAAAACAAATGATATTTGAGTGAACAATTGTTTTCGTTGACTTCATCATTAGGCTCTACAGTTATAAGTTATCACAATAATTCTGGACTTGTAACTGTAGAGCGTGGAGATGAAGTAATTAAAAAAATATGGTTCACTCAAATATTCATTGTTTTTGGAGTAGAATTTATTGGAACCATCTACTTTGAGATGTCTTGTTCCTTTCAAGCATAAAGTTTAGTTCATCTGACTGTCTATGACCATGGGGATTTTCGAAGATCAGTAGGCGAGACTGGAAGCTATGAACGAGTCAGTCAGAAGCGCCTAAGCGATTTCAAGGTTACAGCGCCTATTTCAGTACCCA